CGCGGCCCCGCGGCGGCGGCCTGCGCGCAGCGCCCAGCTGGCGCCCGCCGCAGCCCTGCCCTTGGGGGCCGCCTTCCCCCTCGCCGTTTTTCGCTCCTTTGTTTTTCCGCTTTCGCCCCGTTTGGGGCTGAGGCGCCGAGGGGGCTCCCGGCCGCCCCAAGGAACGGCTCGGGCAGGCCAGGAGGGAGCGGGCTTAAAATAACAGCAATGATCATTACAAATAAAGCCAGGCGGGCGCCTGGGGAGCAGGGAGAACCTGGATGGAGGCGGGAGGAAGGTCCTGCCTGGGCCGCGGCCCTGGGAACGGCCGCCTGGGTCTGACACCTGCGCTGCTCCCGACGCCCGGCAGCCGTTTGTGCCGTTTGTGCCGTTCGTGCCGTTGTCGGGAAGCCGCGGGGCGATTCCGCGGCCCGCTTTTATTTTCAGTCCCTCCTCGGGCGCTCTGGAGACGTCACTCGGGTTGCTGCAGGGAAGCGGCWAACTCCGAACTGTATTGACCGGCCTGAGACGTCACAGAAACGCTCCTGACGCCGCTGGGCTCTGCTGGACTTGCCCGCTTTTAATATTATTATTWTTTTTTTTTTCTAAGTAGCGCTGATGTTTTTGGAAGCCCTCCAAAGGGCTGCTTTGGCCGCTACGCGTTCGTTTTGGCTTTCCGTTTCGCAAGGAACGGCCTCTTTGGTCATGGCATCGTGTTTTTTCAGAGTTAATAAATTACTTGTCAGACACGTGCTATTATTAACAGTGTTTGTAATGACAGCCAAGAACACGTGAGAGGGAAATGAGCCTACAGGGGAAATACGAMGAAATGATTTTGCTGCGAGTTGCTTGCCTCGCTAGGGCTGCAGGTTGTGGATTTTATTCCTTATTTTGCAGACAAAACCAACTGCCAACCTGCTCTGCATTTTATTTTTGCCTGCAGTGGGACGACCACTGCTTTTGGGTACAATATTATTGACAAGAATTCTGGAAATCCGTTTGAATTATCAGTGTTAACAGTTGTGTTTGCTTTGATGTCACCGCCCTGAAAGTGAAGAGGGAGATATCTGAATTAAATTGCTGTCTGCCACTGAAATACTGTTGTTTTCAGATAATGAGGTTTAGGTGTTTGTTAACTCTCGTTTTGAGTGCGTTGGTTGCATGTATGTGGTACACGTGTCCATCAGAAATGCACTGATAAAGCCCTCCGTGGCCAGACACCAGAAGACAAACTGTTTACAGTCATGTCACTACGTATAGGACTGAACTTTAATAAAGTTTGGCTGATTTTATGCTGAGAACAGCCTATGAGCAATAAGATACACGTAATGAAATTGCAGCCAAACTGGCTACTGCCAATAAGCACTTGGCATTAGTTTCAGGATATATCAGAAATATATTATGATCTTTTTCAGGTATCATTTAAACTTATTTCTCTTTTTGCCTCTTTTTTTTTTCAGGTGATCTCATGGAAGGAGAGCTTTATTCTGCTCTCAAGGAGGAAGAGGCCTCCGAGTCTGTACAAAGTACAAACTTCAGTGGTGAAATGCACTTCTATGAGCTCGTAGAAGACACAAAAGATGGGATCTGGCTGGTACAGGTATAGGAGTTACATGATTTATTTCGTCTATATCATATCCCAAGTATGTTTCAGAGGAGGCATTTGTGAGGGTAGTTATGTGGTGGGAAGAGTGTGAGCTCTGAGGAGCGAGTCTGGTCAAAAAAAAAACCAAGCAAGGCTGGAAGTGACAGTTCCTGTACAGACAAGAGGAATAACACTTGTTATTCCTGTGAAATTGCTCTTTGAAAACAGGCACTTTACAACAGAAGACAGGCCGAGCAGCACGTACTTAAGTATATGGACTGCACAAGTGCTTGGCTCTGATTCTGTAAGAGCTTGAGCCTTGGCTGTTAAGTAGGTGCTTTAAGTGTATGCGCTCCCAGCAGGAGCGGGGCCGCAGGTCTGGCTTTACATTCCGCTCCGTGCTCAGACCCAACTGGTTTAATCTGCGGTTTATCTGAGGGGCTGCGAGCCCTTCTGCAGCCGCTGTTTGCAGCTCACAGAGGCTGGATCTCAGTGCGTGGCTTCTAGGCTGATCCCACGGTGTGTTCCAATAATCCAACGGCGCCAGACCTTGAGGACACGATTTTTAGTGTTGTTCTGTAAGGATGTGTGAGAATAAGGGTACGTTTAGGAGAAAAAGAGGGGGAAACTTCTGTAAAAGGGATTTTGAAGTAGTTTGCCTTCATTCTTGAGAAAGTAAATTAATAATCTAGACAAAAAAAAAAAGGTGGAAACTGCTTTTCTGTGTCAATCCTCAGGGACAAGAATTTGTTCATTTGTTTGTTTTAAGGCTTAAACTCCTTTCTAACAGCTCTATTAAGCAATTCTCCACCAGGGAATTGGTTGTTTAGTTGACAATATTCTTTCCTAGATGAAGTCTTTGTCTGGCCTCCTTACTTCATGTCTGGTCTCCCTGCTTCATGTTTTCTATTTAAGGAGCAGGTTCTCCAGATTTAAAGCCTTTCTGATGCTAGTCCTGCACTGTTGCCACATCAGCTCTGGCCCTAAAATAGACAGTGAGGGAACAGGTTACCTGTGTAGTCCAAATGGCATTTATATTTTGGGAAAGATTTATTCAGTGTTCATTGAATYTTAAGTTTCAAGTTTAAATCAGAAGGGGATTCTTCAGTCTGAGAGAGATCATAGGAAGGCAGTTTTCTTCATGTGTTTTAGGCAGCTGATAAATACATGAATAATAAGTGCATGAATATATTGAGAAAAATCTTTCTACGTCACCATGCAATTAAAAAGAATAACATACGATACTGATACTTTGTTGGTAGCTTGCGGGMTTTTAATCATAGTGTGTTTTCAGTGAGTGTCATAATGGCAGGTCAATTAGGCTGTATTTCGATATCTCTGAGTGTGGTGAAAGCTGTCATCATTGTGGAAATATTTGAACAGCTATTCAGTTAGTCACAATAGCGGTGAAAAAAATTTGAGGGGAATTTGCAGAATAATTTGCTTGCTGAATGCTATTTGTCTGGTTTACACAATAAAAATAAATACGAGACGCATCATATTTCTTCTTCTTATTCTTGTTTTCACTCCAGTTTTCACCACTTTGAATTTCCATTTGTTCCTTTTCTCCTTTCCCCTCCTTGCTCGTCTCCTGGGCAGCGCTTGTCTTCTTGCCAGGTTTTCCCTTGTTACTCCTCTTCCCTCCAGAGCTTCCTTTTCCCTTCTCTTCCCTGCTTAGTCCTCGCCCAGTGTCCCTTATCACCACACCGGCCTCGGGAACTTTTCCAGTAACGGGCTCAAGAGATGCTGTCAGGGTGAGGATGCCTCGTGCCCAGATTCAGTGACCGCAGTGAGGACRGAGCGTGTTCTTGATCCTGGCTCCRGGTCCTTCAGTGTCCCCAATCCCGCATCCTGGCTCCCTGCTGGCTGCTGGGAAGCAGGAAAGGRCAGGGGACAGTTCTGGCTTGGTTCACCCCACAGTTGTTGTTTGAGCTGGTTTTGTAGACTTTGTGATGAGGTATCATGATTAGAAATCATCTGAAAATGGGTTTTACTTTCTCATGCTTCCCTCTAAGCCATGGAAATGGAACKTCTAGGTAGCACAGGCAAATAATGGGATAGCAAACTTGTCTGCAGAGAATCAAGAGGAAACAACGGTTATTTCTAGATATATTTGATAACTCAGAAGCCAGTTTATCATTTGGAGCCAGTAAGATGAATTTCTCGAAGAAAAACAAAGCCTGTGCATAGGGAAATGAAGTGTTTTGTGGCAGCGTGTGTTTATTTTCCGGAAACCTGCATGGAAAGCATCCAGGTTCAGAGGTAACTTGCTTATCAGCACAGCTTGCAGATGAGAGCAGCGTGTCCCCACTCCTGTTAGCTGGTGATCTCATGGCCTGTCCTTTTATACCTTGCCTGCTGTCGTGGCACTGCTTTGGAGCGTGAGGGAGAGCAGTGGTGATGCCTGGAGCTGGAACCTGCTGCGTGGAGCAGTCCTGCTTTGCCAGGCTCCTGTCCTGTCCCATCCAGTCATGTTATGGGCATGACGCATCATCACTGCACTGGAACGCTGTTACAACATGTGACTCTTTAAAAGCTCTATAGATAAAAGCCCTTTCTGAAGGAATTTAATATAAATGTAGGGATATAAAAATAAATAAATAAAAAAGCAGTCACCATTATAAAATGTTGGAGGAGAGAAGCAAAGGGAGCTTCCTGGCTAGATTTAAAGTAGTAGGAAAAATAAACATTTTCATCTTGTGTGGTAGAGGCGCAAAGGACTTGAAGGGGGATAATTTTCAGGCTTACTTTACTTCTGCCAGGTAACTGCTCGCTTTCATTATAAAGGAAATCACTTTTTTTTTTTTTAAATTTCTCACAAAAAAAGCAAAAAAAAATCTTCTGAAATCTCTGTGGATGGATTCTGAACTAGTGGTGAGTTCTTGGGAAAAGACTACTAGAAATTCAGTTTTATCAGCTTGATGTAGAATAAGAAATGGGGATTTAGATGTCTCAGAATTAATAAAAATACAGTGAGTCATTTAAAAACTATTTGTGTTATCTTTGATAACATTAGTAAGCATTTTTCTATGCTTCTAATAAAAATCACACCAGCCCAGTATTTACTGTATGTCTTCCTAAATGAGAATTGTCAAAGTATTTCTGCTTCTATTTTATATGTAGAATGTGGGGGAGGATGGTTTGTAACACARACAGTTCATCATGTGATTCCATGAAAAGCACACCGGAAACTTAATAAACTGACCATTGTTCTCTAGGTTTTATATCTCTGTGGATCTTGAAAAATCTTCCAGTAAGTGGAAGGTCTCTTTACAGTAACATGACAGGCTTCCTTTGCTCGTGTACCTTCTGCAGGTGCCTTAGGAGTAGTTCCTGGACCTCCGACGGCTCAAGCCGGGAGCTGGTGAGCCAAGCTGGCAGCTCTCATCCCCCTTCAGCCTTTCCAGTTCCGTAGAGTAGCAGTGAGTCTTGCTCTTGGCAGAATCCTGCAGGTTTTTCCCAGCTTGGATATTCCTTCTCCTTCCTGCAGCACCTGACGGGCTAAGTTGGGTGACATTTGAGGGTTCCAGGCAGAATTACCTGCAYGTGCTGCATGCAGCAGGAAATGGGGAAATGGGGTCTCTTCCTTCGTTGGGTTTGGTCTTCTTGATGATTTAAAACCTGCTGCAGCTCCCTAGTGCCTGTTGTTAATGAGCACCTGGAGCTGGTGTTTTKGTGGCCAAGCTGTAAACCCAAGTTTTGACTATTGTGGCATATCCAGAATTTTGTGTGCTCTTGGTCTGAGCAGGTGTGCCCAACACCTGGTACCGTGGCAAGGTTCCAACTTCAGGAATGCTTGAGCTTCCCTTGGCACTTCYATTTGGATACAGTTTTCTCTTTTAATGCCATGTACCCATCTCCCACAGTGTCTGAGAGCTGCTGCCAATATGAATATTTTTGCACCACAAACAATACATATAGAAATACGTGTGCACCACTTAGCTTTGAATTTCTGTTGTATACAGAAATTCAGTCGTGCTTTTTCATTTTTTAGTGCTGTGCCCATCTTTGTTGCAACATAMCAAATATTCACAAATAGAGTGACTGTTACCAAGCTTTGTACAAGACTCATCAAATATGCAAAGTAAATAATTCAACAGGGTTTTTTTTTTTCCCTTTAGAGTTGGTTCAGGTTCATGACACCATTAGAATTAGTAGCATCTAGTTTTAAGGACTGGTTTTTTAAAACATCTTGCCTTAAAAGAGCTGTCTTTCCAAGATGTTCAGGTTCTGTGAGAAATTATTCTTGCATATGTCGTGGCTTGCAAATTACTTGTGTTCCTGCAAGCCACTGGAATAGAGGCAACCTCTGTACTTGCCAAGGGTGTGTTATTTTTTCAGTCAAGCAGGATACCTTATCTGGTGCACTGTAAGGATTATTCCCAGTTAAAATAAATACTGGCTAATCCTATTTTAATATCTCTTGTATCAGATTATGTATAAKCTCTTTTCTTCATCGGGCTGTAACTGTTCTTGTAAATCAATGACTAGTAAGTTTATTTTCTCTATATCTTTTAACTGTAGGAGAAAGTCAAGAAAATAACTCAAGGAGTTAGAATTGGCCATAGTAACGGCAGCTGGAATGTTTGTTCTTCAGTTGTCAATATCTGACCTTCATTCACACAGCTTTTGATATTTGAACATTGTCAGCTCTGAGTGATCCTTAACACCTCCCGAGACTAGATCTCATTGTAATAACCTGCTTAAAAAATCAGTATGATGTCTAAAAGGGGATGAACAAAATCTAAAGTCAATAAAAGGAAGGAAAATGCACAGATGAGGCTACTCTCTTGTGCGCAATGCTGCTGGGTTAGCAGAACAAGGAGCAACTTTACGTGGAGCATTGCGATAGCAAACTCTGTTGGAACAGCAGTGTTCAGTTTCTCAAAGACTCTTCAATTCTATAATGTCTTTTAAGAGGATTTTTAAAATATGTCTTATTAGTAATTTTTTAAAATTATTTTAACTGGGAAGTTAAGGTGCAGCTGCTTTGGTGATTGTTCTGAGGGAGCCAC